CGCGAACCAAGCCCACTATCACCAAACCTACTAAAACTCACCTCCTCAGCACCCACCTGCTGCAACGCCGGCGCCTCATATCCACCAGCCTGCTGAGACTGAATCCTCCAGACTTCAGCCTCAGCACGACCGGTTTTCTCCTGTTCCTTTCGCAAGCGCTGCTTCAACCCTTCAAGCTGTGGCGCCACTTCTGCCTGAATCGCATCATGCGGAATAGATGAGGACTCGGTGTGGGGATGCCTGTCTGGAGACCCGTAGAGCAAGGGAGCCCTTTGCTCCATGGCAGCAAGCTGCTGCGCGTTGGCACCAGTGAACAACGGCATCGGCACTTGACACTCATCTTGCAGGACGCGGCCTCCTCTCTCGAGGGGCTGTAGTGGTCGCGACGGCCTTGGAGGAGAAGTCAGTGGACTGGGAGCCCACCCTTGCGGCAGTGGCTGTACGTTCGCCGCGCCACCAAACAGAGACTGCACTCTTCCTAGCAACTGACTAGCAAAAGCCTGAGCCCCAGTCTGCATGACCGCTGACGCCCCGTACGCCGTTGATCTGGGCGTTTCAAAGCCCTCAGCACTACTTCCAGGATTCGCTGCAGATGGGTTGTACCCTGAGACGCCTGCGGCAACATTGATCTGAGCGCTAGCCATTCCACTTTCGGTGGCCACACTGAAACCCTGAGTCACTGCAGTTGCATCTCCATGCACCCCACTCGCATCAGCGACCTCCGCGGTAGATACTGCTTCATACGTAACGCCAGCTGTACCCAAGCCTCCAACCTGGCCTAGTGTTCCATCGCCTCCTGTCCTACCGACTGCTGAAACTCTCGGTCGGCCGGCTGTTCCAACAGTTTCTTGTGGCAGCTGAGGGGATGGCACTGGACCAGCTGTGGAAGTCGATGGCCCCGACGACGCATCCATCATAGTTTGCTGGATTCCATCCCCAATAGGCTGCGCAAGCCCAGAGGGCGATGGCACTCCAACTCCGGCGGTTGTACCATTCACTGTAGTCTGCGGTGCATCCCCGCCTCCCCGCACTCCAGGCAGAGAGGCCGGAGAAGCCACCGCTCCGGTTGCTTCTGGCCCAGGCGTTGGGCTCATCACCTGTTGAAGGTGTTCACCCTGGGTGGCCATACCCTGCAGCGAAGCTCACGCAGAATGTTTTCTATGGCTGGGCGCAGAGGCGACTCACGATCTCAACGAAGCAACAAGAGAACCGACAAACCAACAAACGACCTGTACAGCTTTACAAGTTGTTGGTTACAGTACACATGGCTCAAGAGGCTTACCTTTCGTAGCCTTCCCCTACGAGCCGAAGCATAACAGCGCACAAACACTTGCAGACTACAGGTACCTAGCAGCTATACAAGGGCCCTGAAAGCTAGCCACAACTGCAAACTACAAGTGCTGATCACTGACATGCTGGAGCGTTTTCAACACTAACCCTAAACCCTATACCCTAAACCCTAAACCCCGAACCCTAAACCCTATACCCTAAACCCTAAACCCCTAAACCCTAAAACCCTAACCCTAAACCCTAAACCCTATACCCTAAACCCTAAACCCCGAACCCTAAACCCTATACCCCATACCCTAAACCCCTAAACCCCAAACCCCAGAACACTTGAGCTGAGCGGCGGATGGCGAGTAGATGGGCGAGGAGCGCCTGGAGCCTGTGAAACATGAATCCAAGGGTCAAAGGAGGGACGGTTTAGGGTTTATAGGGTTTAGGGTTTAGGGTTTTTAGGGTTTAGGGTTTAGGGTTTAGGGTTTAGGGTTTAGGGCTTAGGGTTATAAGGCCCCCCAGGTTTTTACCCTAAATGTCTTAGGTACTGCCCCCATACAGTAAGAGTCTATAATAGGGCTACTGTCAAGGTCCTAATATATCTTTCTTATGAATATTATTCATCTATTTCTGAGTGGGGGCCGTACCCAAGGATAATCCTTCAGGCTTCTCTTTATTAGGTTCTGGGCTTGGTGTTGGAGGTTCACGATGCAGGGTGAGCAAACCAATGAGGCAAAGAGGCATTGAGAGAAAGGGATGGTCCTTAGGTAAGGAATCCTTAAAAGCAGGCCGATTGGAGACGATGGGAAGGTCGGCTGCTTGCTCAAAATCTGGGTTTTTCTAGCAAAGCCAAGGCGAAATCCTGTCCACCAAACCTCCCAAGCCTTAAACCCAGAACCTCACATACCCGAAGCCTCAAAAATCCCTGAAGCCCTAAACTGAAACTTTACTTCTAAGGTCGAGACCTAAGCCCCAAGTCGTGCACCAAAGACTACGATGGCCCCCAGAACCCGAGCTGCTGGCCCACCCGGGTCCAAAAAGACCTGCAGTGAGGGGTTCAGGGTTTGGGTAGTTGCCGCTTGGGAATGTGTAGATTCTGGTGTTTCGGGGGGAAGGTGGTTTGGCGTCAAAGGATTGGTTGACGGCTTGCAGCAGAGAAAGGAGAAGAATGCTGGCTTGCTGGCGTTTAGGAATTCGGGTACCTAGATGTATGGACTTGGTTTTGTTTGGGGGTTCGTTTGTAGGTTTGTAAGTCTTGTAACTCTGTGAAATAGCTACCTAGTCAGTCCGCCGACCCTCAAAGTACACATTATTCCTGCGTCTATAATAGTTGCTTGCTGTGTTGGAGATTCCAGAAGCAGAAGTCTGCGTGGAGTTTCTGTTCCAGGGCACGGTGGCCCGAAACCCCGCTTTTGTTGGCATTGACAGCAAAACCGGGTTTCGCGCATATTATACTTGTATCTTAATACGGACCCCCAAGATTGTATTTTGGTAACTCTTTGGGCGCCTCTATTGCGGATTCGGACATAGTGCGGACACTATCATGGGACGGGGGCGAAAAACGTCGTTTCCGATTCTGCGGCGGGGCAGTCTAAACTAGACGAACACCTTTGCACCAGTCATCTCGTCTTCATTCACGGAAGCTTTCTCAAATTCTGGGTTAGTGTTGCAGAACCTGGAGAAAGGCACAGAATCAACATCTCCCAGTGAAGCTCTCAGCCCTGAGCTATGTACTTCCTACCCTCAAGCATCCACCCTCATACTCCTGAACCCTGGACTCTGCACCCTACAGTAAAGCCTAAGCCCTACACAGAGCGTCAGTGACCTCCATCCCTCAGGGCTTCGGGCTTGAGATTGAGCGCTTCGTCTCTAGGGTCATAGTGCTTGTCATGTGGACTCCAAACACCTCGAGCAGTGCATGTGTGTATATGTACAGATATACACGTATTACATCTGTTTGTACACATACCTGCAAACATGCATACAGTTGAAACCAACGTGTCTATCAAGCCCAAACCCTAAACTGTCGGGACCCAAATGCGGCGCCAGCCTTCACAAGGCCCACCCCCTAAGACCTGAACCCTAAACACCCTAAACCCCTAAACCCTAAACCCCTAACCCCTAAACCGCCCCGGTGTACCTGCTCTTTGGTCGGGCGGCAGAGGGTCCTTTGCCGGCGATAGAGAGACAGGCGGCCAGACAGTTTGGGGTTTGAAGGTTTGCGATTTGGGGTTGAGGGTTTGGGAAAGTCAAGGGTTCAGGGTTGAGGTTTTTGGGGCCCTAAACTGTTGAACTCTAAGCCAAGAATCCCGAACAACCAAATTTGTGACCGGGGCGTAGAGCTGTCGGGCGGAGCTTTGGAGGACCGAGATCGGGAGGTTGGGTTTTCAAGCGCATGTTCTGGTTCTGATCGTAATCAACAACCACTCAAACCCATCACACCACATGCAAGCGACGGCGATTGAAGAACCTTGCCTCAATGCGGAGACTCAAGAACTCAAAACGCTGAACCGATGACACGGCCAAGATTCGGAGAACATGACATCGGTCTTGTGCTCCGCTGCGGCAGAAGCAACGGCCGGAACCAGCTTTGTCTCGCTCTACCAAGGGTCTGGTTGGTCAGGAGTGGGGTTGCAGGATGTGTAGCTCCGTGTTCATCGATACGGGTCCTGGGCTTCGGTCTTGAGTTTTGAGGCTAAGGATTATGGCTCTTGATCGGGCTGGCTCGTATTTTCTCCAGTTGCTTCAGGTCTGAATCTACCCTGATACTCGTCCAAACAATCAAGTTGACGACAAGAACCTCATACAAATCTGCCTCAGTTGTCGTGAACCATGCGGGCCATGGAGCAAAAAAACAACTGCGCACGGAATTGGAAGGCCCTCCCCGACATCTCCCTCCACGGCAGAAAAACTTACCCAATCTCCAAACGCACCCTGCCTCTGCACTTGTAGATAGAGCTAGATCCAACCACAACGAGCAAGCTTTTGAATGGCTCTGTTACAGCTACACTCACAGTTGCAGTGCCGATCATAGTTTTCATGTCTGCGCCTCTCCTACTCCTGCTCCTGCTCCTACTCCTGCTCCTATATACACCTACGCCCACTCCCACTCCTACGACAACCACTACTATATACCACCACCACCACCACGACGACGACACTACTACTACTACTACTACTACTACTACTACTACTACTACTACTACTACTACTACTACTACTACTACTACTACTACTACTACTACTACTAGCACTACTCCTACTACTACCACTACTACTCCTGCTGATGCTGCTGCTACAGACTACCTCGACTGAAAGACAAAAACCTACTAGAACTGCTCAAACTGCTACTACTACCACGACTTCAACACATTCCGACTGACTCAAGACCCTTGTGTTTTTGTGCCTCGTGCTTTCAGGAGCATCTCTCGCTGAATGCTCGAAGGAGGACGAACTCAGCTAGAGATCTTCCACTGCCGAGCTTGGGCCCAGTATCAGTATTGAGGGTTAGGGCTTAAGGTTTGAGGTTTAGGGTTGAGGGGGTCGCAAGTGCCACCACGTCTTCCTCTGTTGCTCTCAGTGCCTTTGACTGATGCAAATCTACCTCGTGCAAGACAACTTTGTGTCTGCGGTTGAGGGAGCTGAACCGTTTCATTAACAGTGTCTGGTTACGATTATTGCTTCTACTACTCCCACTACTCCTACTGGGCAATAGCAGAGTTTCAGGACTGCGCTTCCTCTGCCGAGACTGCAAAGAGCACACGATGGCCTTCGGCAGTTCAATGCTTACGGATGTAAGTTTAAAGTTTGGGGTTTAGGGTTGAGGGTAAGTTTACGGCTTAGGATCTAAAAGCCGGGGCTTCGGGCTTAAGGTTAAGGATTTAGGATGTGCTGCGCACTGTGAGTGGTGTGCATCCGAAATAGTTGGGTTGGAAAGCACGAAACGATAAACGTTACCAGGAGACAAGAAACAATTAGGATCCGAAAATGAAATTGCTTTACGGGTTGTGGGTTTAGGGCTTGTGGATCTGCGGTTTCAGGGCCTAGGGTTTAGGGCTGAGGCTTTGGGACTTTCGAGTTGAAGATACATTAAATGTTCCTGTGTCCGAAGAACCTCAGTACTTCGGGAAGGACAGCTGGAAATGGGAAGTTCTCTAAATTAGGGTGCCTTTTAGTTACTTTTTATAAGGGCGTTGCACTATTTTTGAGACCTGGAAAGGGACCCTAATTTGCAGAATTGCCCAAATACAACCCCGGACCTGAAAACACATTAACCTCTTGCCAAACCCCAAAACAAACGCTGCCAAGCCCGGTGACCTGGGCGCGCCCTAGATTTTTAAACCTACACTTTAAGTCTTAGTGCTGTGGGTTTCCCTTTTTGCTCAGAAAAAAGCTCCTTCAAACGAAGATTCATGAGGCAAGAAATCAAGCTACCCCTAATTTGCACACAATGACTTTCAGATAAACCGCACGCGCCATAATTAAGATGTCGAAGGTTGCCTGCACGGTCAGTTTATGGCATTTGTTGTTAGCAGCTGGATATGCCTTTTCATTCTGCTTCTCAATCTGTCTTCGATAATGCGTATGAGGTGACGAGTGCTCTTCACCTTGTAGCCCGAATCCAAAACCTGCACCCCAAAACCACAGAGCGTCTTAAATTTCTGGGTGCTGCTATTGCTGCCACTCCTCCCTCCACACAAGTTAAGCGCTTAGAATCTGAATAAACACGAAATAACCCCTTGGAGTTTCATTAGAGTCAACATAAGACGGATTCCTCAGAACACTGCTACGGCCAAATCGGCCGGCCTGGTAAGGAAAGGCTTCTCGCCATCTCTGTCCTGTCGTCTGTGTCGAGGCGTCGGTGGGTCTGAATGCTTGGGGAAGGCGGGATTCTAGGGCTAGGGTTTAAAGTTGACGGTCTAAGGTGTAGGGCTTTCGGCTTAAAATTTGCTTAGTGCTTTCAAGATTCAGGGTCTGAGGAGCACCGGGATTCAACATTTGAGCTTTGCTGGTAGCTTATCCCCGTACTTCTGCGCTTGCAATGCCCCTTCCACCAATTCCAGGCCCTATATGAGCTGTTGCTCGAAGGTCCGCGGACGCTTTCGGCCCAGGAGCCCTCTCAAACAGGATGTGGGCTTGAATAGGACCAACGAAGTCCTCCGCTAGCTGTGGAATCAGTGCCCCTTCTGCTTGCCTCGCATTCCCAGAAAGGGTAAGCCACACCGTCTATGAACCAATTTCGCTGTGCCAACCCTGAGTTCGAGAATGTCTGAGATCAGGTCCACTGCGCAGTCGCAGGGGTTGCTCGAGCTGAAGCCGTCACGGCAGCGGATACACGAGCATGATAAGACTGCCACAGGGTGGATGCTTACCCTGTGCCTTGGGCACTGTGGATCCTGGCATGAGCAGTATTACTAATACAGATATGAATACAATACCACGAAACACTGTAATGCTCAAAAACTTCCAAAATTTCCAACCCTAAAACTCACGAAACACTGTAATGCTCAAAAAATCAAAAAAAATTCCAAAATTCTGGCATCTATGGCCAGGGCGGGGTGCAAAAGCTCTTTTAATTTGATTTTTTTGCGGCACTCACGCCCTCCCTTACAGCCGCGGTGCTTGAAAGCGCCCAGGCACGGATGTGTTGACGGCTTGGCGCGTTTTCGGGAGGGGCGGCAGAGGATTGATAGTCTTCCGGAACTTCACAGCCGAATTCTCTGGTCAGGACATCAGGACATTCAGGCTGGCGAAGCAGCTCTGAGGAGGGACGGGACGCTCAGCCAACATGTCCTCCGTATCAGAGCCATAAAGCTGCACATTTGCTTGGAAGACTGGGCACTCCCTCCCCGCGTTGCACGTGTCCCGCTTTGTGCAGCTGGGACGCCAGCATGGCAAAGCAGTTTTCTGGCCACGCTGACCGAAGAACTCGTTGGGTTCGGCGCGTGCTGCGGGCGAGGGGGTGGAGCTCGGTGTCCGGAATGACTGTAGGGCCGCCACCCCTACAACGAGCCACCCCGGATCTGTTTCGCGACCTTCATGCGCAACCCTGCCAAGCGCTACACCTCACCCTCGACATTCTGCATGGGCAGCAAGCCGTTGCAACACAATGGGACGAGCATTAAGCCGGGCATTCAGGCACAGACGAAAAAGCGCTCGAAAAGTGGTTCGCAAAATGCGATGGAAATTGGAAATGTGCAAAAAAAATGTGAAACAAATGCAAAAAACCATGGCAGGCTTTGATGGTGGCTGCATCCGGAACACCAACAATGTAAGAACAAACGAAAAAGGTGAAGCCAAAAGTGAACACAGAAAGACTACAGACGTGACGCTTTTGGTTTGAGTTTTTCTTGTTCTTTTTTTTTTGCAAATTTCACAACGCTTCTGTTTTGCTCGTTTTTGCATTTGCTTTTCCAGGTCGCATTTTCAATTCGCATCTCTGGCGCTTTTGTTGCGCTTTTGTCTCACATTTCAATTTATCCTGGGTTTCATAGGCTGTGCCTGCTGAAGACCGACCTAAGACGATCTTTCCTCAGCATTCTTCTCCCTCCGGGCAACCTGACGGTATGCATGCTTGCATGCGTGCGGGAGCTTGACATCGCCGGTGCCTTCTCAGGTTTGAGCTTTACTTCGAGTCCAGGTGCTCTTCACCCCGTCTGGGCTTTCTGCTGGCAGCATCAAATAGCCCTTGGGGCCACCCGAGGTCACGCGTGGCACACACTGCATGTCCACGCCTCAGCTTCCCAACAATTCAGTCTACCCTCGTTCGTTGTGGCTTTGAATTGAGCCTTGACACGCGTTTTGACGGTGCCAAGTCAAGGAGGGTCCCGCCCGGCAGTTTAGTCACTTTAATCGCCTCTCTGAAGCAGCAATGGCACAGGCTTCACAGAATGCTTTTACAGCTGCTCCGTGGGTTCACCTCCGCTATAATCCATAACCTGTCTGCTGCACACCACGATTGTGGCACCTTGTGTTTCTCGCTTGCCGCTCCCTCCGCACTGTCGTGCCCCTGTGGCCCCTGACAATGACAAACACGAAGGTCCTGCTGCCGTGTTGAACCGCACCTGGCACGCAGGCCTGCCTTGCTCTAGAACTGCTCTTTCTTCGAAGATGCCGGATGCTGCTTCGAGTTCGAGAACTTCAATCTCCAGCGATTGGATAAACCCTTAACACTGCACTAGGGGCCTTAATAATTAAAATATGGTTTTGTGGCCCACTATACTATAGTTATAGCAAGGAGCCCCCAAAAATAGTGTTAGTAACTATTAAAGCCCCTACAGTAAACTAAACCCTGCCGGCCCGCCGACAAAACTAGCATTGCTCTCGCTTAGCGGTGATCTCCCGGCTGCAATCCAGCATGTTGTAGAAAGGCTCAAGACACGGCTTCTGAACGTTCAGGTCTAAAGCCTTAAAGAGGTCGGTTCGGGCCCTGCTGTGTTGCTCGCACGGAAGCTAGGGGATCGGGTTTGGGGTGTAAGGTTTAGAGCGTGTTCGATGTAGGCTTGAAAGGTTTAAGGGCTCAGGCCCAGCATTTTGGGCTTACTTAGAGGGCCGGGGGACAGTAAGTAGTTATTCTGTAGAGTTATAATTACCATTACCCCAATTAGGATCCGTTTTGGGGTGCTTATAACTCTACTTATTACCTACTTACTACGTCTCCAGACCCTCCAAGTAGGGTGTAAGGCTGCAGGTTTCAGGTTTAGGGCTTCTGGTTTAAGGTTTAGGGTTTGCGGTTGAAGCCCGAAACTTGAAGTCCGAGATGCCGAGCTTGAAGGGCGTAGCCCCTGAGAAGCTCAGATCTCACAGCCCGAACCATTCAAAGGGGAAAAGGAGGGACCCTTAATGGGGACCCCTACCCTATGATGGGCTATATAATGGGTATATAATAGCAGTTTTAAGGGTATATACCTAAGGCTCCTTATTAAGGGTCCCTCCTTTTACCCTTGGAACCATTCGTTTGTAGAGGCCCGAGTAGGTAGTATTCATGTTCCTTAGGGCTACCTGAAGGTATAAGATGCCCCGGAAAGTCTAGTCTACATACTCCCAGAGACTCCAACATCCTTAATTGAGACCTATTAAGGGATATTGGAGTCTCTGGGTTCGGACTCCTATATTTTGGTACGGGGTTTCGGGTTGTCAGCTCTGGAAATGATAGATTCTGGAAATGATAGATTAATATTAATAAAGGGGTCTGCAGAACTAGTAGAAATACAGGCGCAATGCAGTAGTTCTATGGTATACACCCAACACCCTCAAAACCTATCCTGATCAAGGCCCCTAGACAACAAAACACACATACATGTGTATATATATATATACATATACACGCAAACCAAAATGATCCCATTGCTTCATCTATTCATGCCCTTCATCAGCAACTACACAACCAGAACACCCGAAGCCCCAAGCCCTAAACCCTCAACCCCTAAGCCCTCCCCTCAACCCCAAACCCAAAGCCCTAAACCCCCCTTGACCCCTAGACCCCAAGCCCCCAAACCACTAAACTCCCTGAACCCCTAAACCCTAAAACCCCTAAACCCCCTGAACCCCCTAAACCCTAAAAGCCCTAAACTTTTTAAACCCTAAACCCCGAAAGCCCTGGGCCCCCTCAGCCCCTAAACCCCTTAAATCCCCTAGAACCCTGAAACCCTGAACCCTAAATCCTTAAACCCCTAAACCCCTTAAATCCCCTAGAACCCTGAAACCCTGAAACCCTGAATCCCAAAACCCTGAAACCCTAAACCCACTAAACCTGATTCCCCTAGAATCCCTGAAACCCTAAACCCGAAAACCCTGAAACCCTAGGCCCGAAACCCGCACTATCCAAGAGCCAGGACCCTTTCAGGGAAAAGAGCAGGCCTCGCCACCTCGAAGATCACCTTTCAGGGGGTTCAGGTACTTAGTGGCTCCCTTGAGACTCCAATATCCCTTAATTAAGGAATATTCCTTAAATCATATAAGGGATCCTACCATAATTTAAGGAATATTGCTTAATTAAGGGATATTGGAGTCTCTGGCTCCTTTTTACAGGGATTTATAGGTTTGGGGTTTAGGGTCGAAGTAGGGGTTTAAGGATTAGGGTTTAAGGTTTAGGATCGGATCAGGGGGTCGATTTTGCTGGCTTAGGCTTGGGGCTCAGCAGGATGAGCCTAACACTAAACCCTACATCCTGCGCCCTAAACCCAAAGTCTAAACCCTGAACCCCATTTTGGGGTACTCATAATGAGGATCCCTCTATTTGGGTGATATATTATTGGCGTTCCCTGTTTTCGGAAACTCCCACATCCTAAACCCTAAAACTCCATGCCCCCCAAACACAAAAATCCCTAAACCCTGAACCCTGTCATCAGAGATTTGGCAGGCATGGGGAATCATCGCTTGCAGCCCGGTGCCAGGAGCGGCCCCAGATCAAGCACTAGAACGGTTTGGAGCTTTTGGTTTACCTTTTGTGTTTCAAGGATAATGGTACTTAGGAAAAAAGGCTACAGATAAGGTACCTACAGCTCAAATCGCGTAAGTCCCCCGTTAGTTAATCAAACTAGTTACTTACTTACTACGTCCTGTGAGTCTTCAGGTTCAGCGACATGGGACATCCCTGTAAAGCAAACCTTCGGCAAAAGGGCGTACGTGGGCTCCGATTCTGAAAATACTGAGCCCCAACATGAAATCAAGTACCCTAAACCCTAAACCCCAAACCCCTAACAAGCGCGACAAGAACATGCCTACTTTAGAACAGAGTGCTGATCCGAAACCCCAAATCCTGTAAACCCTATGAGCCCTGAAAACCCTATGAATCCTTAAAACCCTATAAACCCGATAAGCCCTAAAGACCCTATAAACCCTAGAGACCCTATAAGCCCCTCATCACAGCATTGCAGACAGCCCGGGAGCTCTGCGACTCCAAAACTCGATGCGAAATCTCCTCAACCATAAACCCTCAAAGCACCAAAATCCTAAACTCTAAGGCCCTAATATACGGGCCTCAAGAATTAGAATAGCGTTTTGGCGTGTATCATGCTAGAGTTATAGTAAAGTACCAAATCCTGAACCCTTAAACCCCGACATCCTAAACCCCGAAAACTTCTAAAGACGTCCAGACCCATTTAACCCCCAAACCCCGAACCAAAAGACATAACCTGACTTGCTCTTGGTACGAAGCGTAGGGAATGGGCTCTTCGAACAGAGCGTAGGGAATGGGGGAGTTGAGGGGCGGGGGGGGGGGGGGGAATGGATCCCCGATGCACGAGAGTACGTCCCTTCTGATCCCTTTTCGCAATCCACATAACCCACTCCCCCGTTCCGCCTCAAGAACCACCTAAACCCTAAACCCTAAACCCGAAACCCAAAACCCTAAAACCCAAAACCCAAAGCCAAAGGCCCTAAACCTTGAAAGCCAAGGCCCAGGCAGATCCGCCGAGCCACATGCGACAGCCATCCACGATGTGCATCGATGCTGCCTCAGAAGTTTAGGGGAGGTTTAGAGTTTAGAGTTTGGGTGAGGGTTTAGGGTTTTAGGTTTTGAGTATAGTATAATAGAGTATAACAACTCCCACAGCAAAGCCTAGCATGGCATGGCATAGCATAGTATTAGTATAGTATGACATAGTGTATAGCATAATGAACGTGTCCAGACGTTCTTGAGGTTTAGGGTTTCAGGGCTTACTGCTTGAAGGCTTGAGGTCTTGCTTGCGAGTTTGGGTGTACTTTCGGCGGGTGTCCTGAGACCTTGTGCTGAGTCTGTTGCCCGCGGCATGTGCATGGTGGCGCGTCTGCATCAACAGAAGCGTCAATGTCATCATAATCATCGAAAATCACCACCATCAACAACACCGTCCCGCCCACCACACCCCCCAAACCCTAAACCCCGTCATGGTGAAGCAAGGCAAACCAAGGCAGAATCACCTTCAAGAGAACTTCCAAGTCCGAACAGCGCGCTAACAATCGCAAACGAAGCCAGAGTGCACGGTTTAGGGTTTAAAAGGCTTAGGGTTTAGGGTCGCGGGATTACTTTGCACGCAGCGACAATGCATGTGCCCACATCTGCTGTCTCATGTATATCCAAGATGGAAGTCGGCAACACGTTGCGCGATGCAGACAAATGAGCATTTTTAGAAACGGGCTGGCTTCGCCGAATTGTGTATCTTGGGCGCAACAGCCCCCGTATATTTCATCTACTACCGAACCCTAAACGTATAAGCCCGAAACCATGCCTAAAACCCAAGCCTCTACCTACCCTAACGCCCTAAATGCCAGGCCCTGAAAGATCACACCCCCAACGGTGGCAGATGCTCCGCCGGTCCCAGATGATAAGGCCCAGCTCCAGCTCCGAAGCCCTTGATGCTTATCCCGCCTTCAAACCTTTATACCAGGGAGTTTCCGAAAATCAGGGGGTACCTTGTTTTGGCGTCCTTATAATAAGGATCCTACTATTTAGACTACTACATTAGGGTCCCCTATTTTCGGAAACCTCCAAACCCTGAACCCTAAACCCTTTATAGAACCCTATAGATACGAGGGCCCTAATATGGTCCTTTAGTCACTATTACAGGGTGGGGGCCCCTCCTAAAGGATCCTACTATTCACGGTACTACATTAAGGTCCCCTATTTTCGGAAGATCCCATACAGGCCCACTAGACCCAAGAGTAGCCTGGGAATAAAAAGGGTGCCCTTTTTGGTTTATAGGGGCTTATAAGGGAACCTAAACCCTAAACCCTAAACCCTGAACCCTAAACCCTAAACCCTAAACCCTAACCCTAAAAAAGGGAATAAGCGCCTACTCTGGGTCCTAGCCCACCAAGGCCCTCCCAGCCCAAGGCTTCGAGAACCCGGCGGTTGGACCCCAGAAAACTCATCTTAAGGTTCAGGGTTTATAGGGTTAGGGTTTAGCGTTTAGGGTTTAGGGTTTAGGGGTTTAGCGTTTAGGGTTAGGGTTTAGGGTTTAGGGTTGTAGGGTTCAGGGTTTAGGGTTTAGGGTTCAGGGTTTAGGGTTCAGGGTTTAGGGTTCAGGGTGAAGTCACAACGAAGCTAATTGCTAGACCGAGTGGCTTGCTGTGGGCAGTTGTGTTGGCTTTGTTGCTTCCGTATGGACATTGCTCAAAAGCATGAAGATCGGCTCGCCGGGCATGCAACAAGTAGGGGGCGGATTGTATGAAGAGTCGTTCGAATTGACACTAATGGTTCTTAGATTCATATCCTAAGGCTGGCACCTGAGTTCTTGCTAAGACTTGATAATAGGGATCTATAATAAGCACAGCTGGTTTCCTTGCTACATGTTGTTCCGGTAGCTCAACTAGGATACCCAGTAACCTAAGAACAAAAAGGCCTCTCTTTTTGGTATTGGGTAACTTTACAAGGAACCTAGGACTACAAAAAGGGAATAAGGGTACTACTGGGCATCCTAGGGTAGCTCAAGTTTGCTTCCCCAACAGGAACCAAAATCCGGAGCAGTAAAACAGGAGCAGAGGCCTTCACAGCTGCAGACTGGCAGAAGCTCAATCTGAGACTGCTCGACCGCGGCTTAGGGTTTAGGGGTTTAGGCTTTAGGGATTTAGGGATTAGGGTTTAGGGTTTAGTTTTAAGTACTTCGGGTACAGGCCTCAAACTCGCAAACCCCAAGAGTCCAGAACGATGCAGAGCCCCCCAAATGCCGAAAGCCTTTGCCAACACAACCCTAACCAAAATCCCCACCCCGCAAACTGGAAACCCCCCACATCTCTCTAAACCCCCGAACCCCCAATCTACGCCGCTGGCTCGACTACCATAAACAAGCCCGAAGATTCAAAGACCCAAAAGCCAAGAAGTAGGGCCGCCTTGCGACCCTGGCGAGGCCAAAAAGCCACGACAGCGGTGGCTAAGGGTGCTTCTGTTTCAGCTTAGCTAAGGGTTCAGGTTTTGGGGCTCAGGGTGCATATGCAATGACTTTGACGAGGATGATGCTGATGCTGATGCTGATGCAGATGCAGATGCTGATGATGATGATGATGATGATGAAGATGCAGATGGTCATGGTGAATGCTCTTCTTCAATCTCAGCGTGCCTGGTGCAATGAGTTAGTGTTGGTGGAATCATGCCGTGCAGGTGTGACAGTGTGAGTCTCCGCATCGCACCTGCGGAAGGTGGTACTTGAACTTGGTGGGGCTTTTAGAGCCTTTGAAAAATATTAGTAAATAAGATCCTCTTAAGCCCAATAAGGGAAAGTATAAAATGTCCCAAAGCCCTACCTAGTTGGTATCTGGCAGTTGCAAGACTTGGAACTGCGAGGCTGAGCGCTTCGCACTGACGATGCCAGGTAACTCGCGCAGGTGATGTGGGCCACCCTCCTGTAAATGCTCCCGCTTTTGAGGCTGGTACCCAAGGCTGTGACATTCCTGGAACCCCCCCCAAAACCATGTAAACCCGCTAAATCCCTGAACCCAAAATCCACCTTTCGGATACCCCAGCGCCAAACTGCTGTTGAAGCGCTCCGATCCTAAAACCCATCTTGGGCTTTAAGAGAAAACGTATGCACAGGCTTGCCCTGTGCGTTGAGACGGCGCTTGAAACCATAAAACCTGATCCAACAGGAAGGTGCAAACTTCCGCTTCGAGCAGCGTCGGTCGACGGAAGTTCAACAACAGAGAGCCGGTCACCTTACCGAACCGGCAGCACAAAAATGATATTCGATGGTAGGGTTTACCTTACAACATGAGGGGACACAATCAGGGTTCTAGAAGGGCTACTATAATGGTTACGAGACTGAGTGTGGGTTCTGGTTTATGTTGGCGGTCGGTAAGCTGCTACTGTTGGCAAGTGTAGGGACGTTTATTTGGAGGCCTCAAAAGGTGGGATGATGCAAGCTGTCCTGAAAGCGCCAGGGTTCTCCAGCTCCGAGCAGCGTGGCCTTTGCAGGTGACAGTCACTTAGGATGCGGCTGTTATGAGGTGTGAAACGATCGGGAAGGCAACTGATGCAGAGTTTTTGGGAGATGGGCCGCACATCCCAACCCGCAAACCTCGAGCCGCACTTTCTAAACCCTATACTCCTTTTCTAATTCCAGGAACCCCCCTCTACTCTCTCCGTGGCGTAAGGGCTGGCTGCTTTACTTGCGGATCTCGGGCTTGGGGTGAGCTCTCATTTTCAGCCGGTGAGGGTTGCGCCTTCAACGCCTTGGACCCCGCTGCACTTTACTGCAAGCATGAAGTTTCGATTTTGGGGCCCACGATTGAGGGTGTCTGTCTGCGAAGCCACCATGTTCCCATGCGCCGTCTGCGGGTGGAGCATCGTCGGCGTCCCCGCACTCTCCAAGGGGGTGGCAGTGTCTGTACCTTCCCGGACCGCCCAAAATCTAGAAAGTGGATCCCCTAATTTGGGGCCCTATACTACCAAGGGTACTATCCCCAACAAGGGATCTACTTTTTGGATCGGTCTGGACCTTGTGAAAATCTGGTACTCGCCACCATGGGTGCAGAGGATCCGACGGCGTCTTTGGCTCTTCGAAGGCATCGGCAGTTCGGTATCTAATGACACTGCGGACGGCGATAACAGCAGTAAGAGCAAATGTGACTCGGCATCACCGGACATCATCATCGACATCATGATCATCATCATCATCATCGAGTAGTAGTAGTATCGTATCGCATGACCATTCTCTGCTCACACATACACCGACGACCACAACAAATGCGCCTGCTTCTTCTCACAATAATACCTGCACTCCGACTTTGTAAGCACAGCACCGCTAAACCGAAAGCCCCAAACCAGAAATTCTACACACGCAGAAAACTGACAGTGACATAAGCCTCCCTACCTGCCTGCACAGATTCAGAATGAAACTACGAATAAAGCTCTTACAGAAGGGGCAATCGTCGGCAAAGGCCAGACAGGATTTTGGTATCAAAGGTCTCGGGTCTCGGGTGGACAGCTAAGCATCCATCCTTATACCTGCAATCTGTCACCCGTAACCTAAACCAAAGCTCCATTCAAGTCCTAAAACCCCAAACCCTGGACCCCTTAAGCTACTCTCAACTTACAAAAACGTCCAACTCCACTCGCCCCCGCAGCATTCGCGAAGCAGCCTCTGTCTTCTTGGCCTTCGGATCCGCAGGCTCCTGGTATTGGTCGCCTCAAGTGCGCCGTTCAGGGCGTAGGTTTCAGGTTTCAGGTGTAGGGGGCTTTAAGCTTTGGTTGAATCCAGGGTCTACGGCTGGCCCTCTGTTGGGACTTCGGGTTCGAGGGAAGGGAAAGAGCTGAAAGGAATTGATACAGCGGCCCTCATACTTAGAATAGGGTTTTGGGGTATGTTATACCATGATTTTAATAAGGAGCCCCAACAGAGTACAGGTACTTACTCAGGCCCCTCTGTTATTGCTCTGAGGAGCCGGGAGCCGGATTTGCGCCTGATGAAAGATCGGATCTTGGAGGCCCAGGTAGAGAGGCGGTCTAGGCTGTAGGGTTGACGGTTTACCTGTAGTCTCCATTGTAGCTCCTTTTTCGGGTTTAACCAATTATATGTTAAGGATCCGAAAAGGTAGCCCCAAAAAGGAACTACAACGGAGACTATAGGTAGGGTTTAAGGAATGAGAGTAGCGGATGCGATATCCGTGACACTCCTCTCCTCACAACCTCATATCTCTCGTAGATCCAAGATTCGGAGGGTGGCGTGCTACATGCATGGCTATGCGCCCTAGGGCTTCAGGGATCGCTCAATGCTTCGTTGAGTTAAGGGTTCCGTTCAAGGTGCCTCCTGGGGTTCCTTTGCAGGCTGCCCGGGCTTGAGGGCTCCCTTAAGAGTGCTTTTCTGGGTTAAAGCTTGGGGTTCGGAGAACCTCAACTCCTAAACCTAAACTTACGGCTCCGGGACTAGACCTGTAAGTATAAGCTTAGGATTTGTACATTGGGCCCAAAAAAACCACCGAAACTCCAAAGCCCCAGTCCTTTAACCGTTCACGAGGGCTCTCAAACAGGAGTGAAGCTCTTAGTTCCTGAGTTCCTAAGCCCCCAAAAGTTCACACTTCCAGTTCTATAGTGGGACATATTATCCCAAACAGTGTAAAGTGTATCCACTCAGCTAGTAGGAGCTTTAGATCTAGAACTGCGAGGATAAAGGAGCCACCGAAGCCCCAAGCGACACAAAACACAGCAAAACCCCGAAAGCCTCAGCCCAAATGGGAGTTTCCAAAAAATAGGGGGGTTACCTTGTTTTGAATCCTCATACAAAGGATCCTTCCTATTCAGGGTGCTAAATTAGGGTCCCCTCTTTTCGGAAACCCTCAAATCATAAACTACGAAAGCCGGAAACCTTGAATTAAGACACTCGAGCTGGGCTCACTGCGTAGATCCGAATCTGCCAAGCACTCGCCCCAGATCCTCGCGCTTGGGGTTGCGCAGGGTTATGTGAGGGTCCCTTTAAGGGTTCAATAAGAGCAGGCTGAGCAGGCTGTGGGTAGACGTTCTGCTAAACAAATTCATGCATGCATGCATAGCCGGCATAGCAGAGCACAACACAACCCGGCACAACATAACAAGACATACACTGCCATGACATACCATACCATGACATACCATAACACGGCATGACATACCATCCCATCCCATGCCATACCATACAATAACATACTACGTATAACATACCATAGCATACCATCGCATGCGATAACATACCGTAGCATGCCAAAGCATGCCATAACATACGATACCACAGCATGCCATAGCATATCATACCATAGCACAGTATCATGCCATAGCATATCACTGCATACCATGCCATACCATGGCGAAGCATAGCGCATCATTGCATAGCGTTGCCATAGGCCCGTAGGCATAGCAGCAGCATTGCATTGGCATAGCTTTAGCTTTAGCATGAGCATTAGCATACCGTGCTACGCAATGCAACGCAGAGCCATGCAATGCAATACTAGCGAGTAGCTGGCACAAGTTTCATTGCTACAGTGGCAGATGGACAGATAAGATCGGATAGGGTAATGTAGCGATGGATGAGATAGGACAGACAGGACAGGATCGGGAAGGACCTGACCGGATCCGATCGGATCGGATGCGAAAGGGTTTAAGGTTTAGGGTTTGCTGCCTGGCCGTTGATAAGGCTGCATATGGGTGGTTGTCAAAATTATGGTCCCTTTTTGGGTACCCTAAATATAAGGTGCCGTACTATATTAGGGACCCAATGAGGGACCACAATTTTGACAACCACCCATATGATAAGGGCGACTACTGCTGCATCCCGACATCCTGAACACTCACTGTTGCCGCAAGTACCTGGACTCTGCAGGATTTTGTCCGTCATCCCTCTATACCGAAACCCGTCACTGCAATAACACCCCCAAACCCTGGACCTGAACGCTCAAACCTAAACCCAGAATGAACTGACCGGGCTCCCACTCTAAAGTCTAAGCCTTAGAAACCTCAAGCAAAAACAGGTCTAAACTCCAAACAACCTCCGAATCCTAAATCCGTCCGGAACCGCTTGGGAGTGTCAAACCGGTAGGCCCTGAAGTGAAGCTGCACCATCCTTCAAACCCCTGTTTAAGGCTGTTTGTCTTGGGCTTGAGCTGTGTTTAGCCTGGGGTTTAGGGCTTAGGGCCCTCAACCCTGCACCCTTGAGCCCTGCAAGTAGCATTTCTGAGCTTTGTAGGCAGCCCGGCTTGTCGAGAGCAGATTCACCTCGGAGAATGTCAACGAGAACGTGCCTGCTGGACGGGCGTAAGGGTTTAGGTTTTAGGGTTTGGGGTTTAGGGTTTAGGTTATTTTCGAGTTTATGCTCTATCCGAATGCAGTTGCATGTTGTGGGAACTGCTCACACCATGTAACAATCTATATTAGGAATACTGTCCAACTGTTACACAGTAGGGGAAGCACCAAACACAGTATACTTCAACCCCGAGTTCACATTGATATTGTTGTATATATACATGCATATAGATATATGCGCATACATATGTGTATACATGTGTATATATATATACATATATATATATATGTTTATATGAGTATACGCACAGACATACATACATACATGCCTTTACTTGTCTTGTGGTGCTTCGTTGTATTGAGTCATACTACGAAGCTCTTGTGATACAGGGGTTATAGAGGAAGATGTCTATAAGCATACGAGTCCAGGGGTATGTATAATTGTAGTGCCACATACCGACTCGAGGGAAATGTGCCATTGCAGCACTATATGGGGACTACGAAGGGAGGAGATCGGCTTTGTTGGTGGGGTCGAGGGCTTGTGATTTGGGTTTAGAGTCATGGTTGGGGGTGTTAAGGTAACTGTTGTTCATATGCATCGTTTTGGGGGATGTGTTGTCTACGCGGTAAACCTTTGGGTTGTTTTGGGTAAGTTTCGGACTTGGGACGTCGGGTTTAGGGCTTAGGATTCCGGACTGCCTAACGCTTGAGCCAGCAACGAAACCCTGACACCGACACTAACCTATGCCCGAAAAGAGCACCAGCAAGGAGGTTCATGAAGATCCGGCTCTCGACGGGATCCGGTGCTCTGTATCCTCAGGGAATGTCCGCCTCTTCCCGGCGAGCGTGCCCCTCCTCTGCCACGTAGTCCAGCCACTTTTGCAACCGTGTCCCTGACAGCCTAAACCCTAAACCCTAAACCCTAAACCCTAAACCCTAAACCCTAAACCCTAAACCCTAAACCCTAAACCCTAAACCCTAAACCCTAAACCCTTTCCATGGAAGAAGCACCTTCCGGATCAGGTGCGAGCCTTGAGGTGCCTGCGTGTCCAACCCAGCCGAGCACCCATGAACTTGCTGCTTGCAACGGGTCGACGCGGTTTAGGGTTTAGGGTTTAGGGGTTTGGGGTTTGGGGTTTAGGGTTTAGGGGTTTGGGGATTAGGGTTTAGGGTTTAGGGGTTTGGGGATTAGGGTTTAGGGTTTAGGGTTTTGGGGTTTGGGGATTAGGGTTTAGGGTTTAGGGGTTTGGGGATTAGGGTTTAGGGTTTAGGGGTTTGGGGATTAGGGTTTAGGGTTTTGGGGTTTGGGGATTAGGGTTTAGGGTTTAGGGTTGGGAGCACGCATACCCCAGTTCATAGCCCACCAACTCAAGCGAGACGACACTGGCAAGCTCGTGCTGCCGGAGCTGGTTGCATGGTACGCTGAATCCTGGGTCTGTCAATTTCAATCCCTCAAACCCTTAAGCCCCCAAAACCAAGATGCTTACAGCTCTGGTGAACCCTTAGGCTCTAGGGTTTCGTCAGGGGGCCCGGACGCCCAGCCCCCAACTCGCCCCCTTATTAAGCAATACTCCGTAAACTGTGTGCCGGGAACCCCAAATGTGCACCCAAACATGAGGATCCTAGTTCTCGCGTATATGTTGGCCTACAATTTTTTGGGGCCATTACGAAAAACTTGGGGTTAGGCTTCAAGGAGTACTCAACCCGAAAATAACTCTAAACCCAAAGGGCTAAGCCCTCCACCCTAACCAAATCTGTCTAAACCCGAACCCCTATTTAAACCCTGAGCCCTAAACCCTCGAAGCCCCATATGCTAAACCCTGAACCCTAAACCCTAAACCCTGAACCCTGAACCCTAAGCAATCCATAAACCTAAACGCGCACCAAGCACCTCCGCATTCTTCCCGGGCCCTTGGGCCAGGATGCGCGCCGCATTGCGTGGCAGCGCCATAGCCTTCGGAGAGTTTGCCGTTAGGGTTTGGATATTCATGTGAAAAGGTTTAGGGTTTAGAAGTTTGGGTTTTGCGGTTTAGGGTTTAGAGTTTGGGTGTGTGTGTGTGTGTGTGTGTGTGTTAGGGTTTGGACTTTGTGTGTTAGGCTAAAGTTCAGAGTTTTGGTGCCGGGCTAAGCGCTTAGGAGTCAAACATGAGACTATTCCTCAACTTAGGCTTTTCTAAGCCCTACTGTTCATGATATAAATCCTGCATTACCTTGAGGACCCTAAACTACGGGAATTATGGTTTGTTCCTTATCATGGGTAAAGCAGGATTTATATCATCAACAGTAGAATCTGACTTCAAGGATCGCCACAGCTTTTGGGGTTGAGGATTTCGGGTTCAGGATAGTGGCCTCAATCATTAGAAGAGGCTTGAATGGAGTATTGTGTTATACTCTTGACAAGGAGCCCGGGGAAACTTAAACCTTAAACCCTAAACCCTAAACCCTTAAACCCTAAACCCTTAAACCCTAAACCCTAAACCTCTAAACCCCTAAACCCTAAGCTAGGGCCCCAAAAAGGCACGTAAGCACAAATTAGGATAGGGATATCCCATATAACCCCCTTATAATGAAGCCCAATAAGGTGGGGATATCACCATAAAATGCTTCTGCTTATGTGGGTGGTTGCCAAAATTATGGTCCCTTTTTGGGCTCCTATTATAATGCGGCACCTATTTAGGGTACCCAAAAAGGGACCCTATTTTCGACAACCACCCATGTGCTTTTTTGGATCCCCATAATAACCCTAGACCCTAAGCCCTAAACTCTAAACCCTAAACCCTAAGCCAAGCTGCCAATCCGTATCGGCCAGGGCAGGTAGGAAGTCCAGATACTCCGCGGCGGTCCAGTCTAGAGCCCTGACATGGGTTTCGGGTTTTAGGGGTTTAGGGGTTTAGGTGTTTTTAGGGGTTTTTAGGGGTTTCGGGGTTTATATAGGGGTTTAGGGGTTTGGGGTTTATTCAGGGGTTTATATAGGGGTTTAGGGGTTTTAGGGGTTTAGGGGTTTAGGGGTTTCGGGGTTTAGGGGTTTAGGGGTTTAAGGGTTTAGGGTTTAAGGGTTTAAGGGTTTGGGGTTTAACGTTGGTTATTGGTTGCCTTGTCGAGCTCCTTTGCGGCTCTGTTTTGGATACTGACGGGTTTAAGGTGTAGGGTTTGCATTTGCTGAGATTGAAGGATTGGATTCCTCAATTCCCATCAAAGGTCTCCCGTCGTTTCTGCATCGAGTTTGCTTTGCATGAGGGTGGTTGTCAATATAAAAGTCCCCCTTTTTTGGGGTCCTTATTCTAATACGGCACCTAATATTTAGGGTACCCAAAAAGGGTACAGAATTTTGACGGCAACCCGTTAGGCTCCTCCAGTGTGAGCAGGCTCCGGCGTAGATTCATCTGGACAGCGGGGCTTAATGAGGGCTTCCCCATGGGTCCAAGTATCCAATAATCATATACTCTCCAAAATCCTAACCTACATAACTACTATCCTAAACCCGAGTACCTAACTATTGGGTCCTTTGGACCCTTGGGGCTTCTATTTTCAAGAAAACCAAATCTCAAAACCCACCAAAGCAAGAAGCTCAAGAGAACGCGATAGGCGCGTCTACACTCCAACTCTACCACCATCTAAAACCCTGCTGAACCCGCACCCTCGGGCCCCGGCTGAAGAACTCAAGATTAACCCTAAACCCTAAACCCTAAACCCTAAACCGTGGCACAGTTCTGGATTATGTTATTTCTCGGGTCAAATTGTGGGGTCTGCGGTTTAAGGCTTGGGGTTTGGGGCTCAGGTCCAAAACCCTAAACCGCAAACGTCGAGGGCTTCGCGTGCCACTCTAGAGTGCCATGTTAGAAGGGGCCCCCACCCTGTAATAGTAGTGTAATAGGATCAATATAATCGGGCCCTCATCCCTAATCTAATCCTTACAGTCACCATTACAGGGTGGGGGCAGCTGCTAAGTGCCATGGCAAAAACCTGCCAATGACACTTCTTCGCGTGGATCTGCGCGGCCAAAACCTGGGGCCAAGAAGGCTCAGGGTTTCGCGTCCCAGGTTTCTCCAAGTTAGTGCACTTGCCGACTGGGGTTTCGGGCTATGGGCTTGAAAGCCTTCATTCCGAGGATTTCGGACTGAAACTTGGGAGGCTGGATAATCTAATTACCAAAAACCCTCAACCCTAAACCCAAATCCTAAACCCTGAACTACATGCTGTGGCTACCTCAAACCCTCAACTCCCTAAACCCCGAAATGCTCATTGGAGGATCACGGGACTTAACAAGCAAGATAAAAAAAAAGCCGTGGTTGGGGTAAGAATTAAAATCTGTACCGCCAGCTTGTTTATACCACCCACTTACTAAGTCCCCTGGTCCTGGGAGCAGAACTTAAGCCCTACATCCTTGGAGGTCCCTTTAAGGAGCCCTTTAAGGAACCCCTCAAGTGCAAGAACGCTCTTAGGCGTCGGCGGGGCAGCGCAGCCCCTGAAACGAGAGGGCGGAGGGGTTCGGGGTTTAGGGTTCCTCAATGGGGGTTCAGGGTTTGAGGGTTGAGGGTTCCCTATGATCCTTGCAAAATACCCGCAGCCCACCCAACCACACACTAGTCTGATTCTTTAGTCCTCTTCTTCATCTCCCCACTTAAGTAATACTCGGCAAGGCATTGCGATTTTTGGAAAACGTGTTCTGCCGACCGGGCTGAAGATACATGGGTTTAGGGTTTAGGGTTAAAGAGCTTTAAAGGCTGGCACTTTAGGTTCAAGCGCGCCACTTGCGGCCAAAAGACAGAGATAAGAACTTAGGGCTTAGGGTTTGGGGGTTAAGCGTTTATGGTGTAGGCTTGAGGGCTTGGACATAGGGTTTCGAGCTCCGGCGCAAAAAGCAACGCACTTGAAGAAGGCGCGTCCGAAGCACGAGAACAACAAAGATCACACGTCATGCAATGCATGGCGGCCTCAGTAAATTCAATATGGCTTTCGGGTATACTCGAGTGCATTGCGGAACCCCATGGAACATTGCGGCGAATTATTCAGGAACCTAAATTTAGAAGTACCTTCGAACAGAACAACAGAACGACACACGTCGAAGCCACGTCCTGACACCACAGAAAGCTGCCTGCGGAAGCCGCGGCACTGAAACCGACGGTGGCGACTGAAACGAAAGAGTCACTTTGGAGTGCGGCAGCTTTGTCGATTTCAGGCTCTGTTTCCGGCCAGGTTTTCCGGACAATTCTAGGCCCCCGACAGCTTCTTCAGGGTTTGAAGTTTAGGTGGCAGTTCCGTCTTGGGTTTGGGGTCTTCAAAATCCCGTTTTGGAGCTTCGGCCTCGGGTTGTAGAGTTTGGAGTTTAGGCTGCAGCGTGCCTAGGATTGAGGAATTAAAAATTCAGGGCCTACGCTTCAGAGTCTAAAGTTTCCAACACCCTAATTAAACCCGCAACTCCTCCTCAGACCTCTTCCCCCCCCCCATGCCTTCAACGATGATAACGATGACGATGATGAGGAGGAGGAGGACAGTGATAACGCTGATGGTGGTGATGACTGTGATGGTGGTGATGATAACGGTGATGACGATGATGGCGATGATGGTGCTGAAAGCACAACCCTACACTATAGACCCTTTAAGCCAGAAGCCAGCCCTGAGCAAAACCCTAAAGCCCTAAAAATGCCTTGAAGCCCCAAGCTCCCAAAGCCCCCAAAGATGATACGGCCCAAAGCCCCAAAAGGCACATCACCCAACAAACTAAACTCCTCAACAGCACCAAAAGCAAAGGCAACACCTGTGCCGAGGCGAATGAAGTTGAAGAGCTCTCGCCCGAATCTGCTGCAGGCATTGCACGAGGGTTTAAGGTTGAGGGTTTAGGGGTGTGGGGTTCTTGCAGCATAGTTACAAGGAGGAACCCTTACGAATAGTACCAGTAGTACAGGCTTCTAGATTACTGGTTTCCGCTACAAGTAGGATGTAAGGTTTGGGTTTGGTGGTGGGGGCCGTGAAAATTAGAATAGGGTTCTGGTGTTTTCGCAGGTGAGGACTGTACGCTTAGCATTTGCCTTACTGGCTGGCACAGCTAAACAGATTCAATATGCAAGGTTTTGGGTTTAGTGTTGCTACCAAGGAGCTACACTGGGGCCCCTGTGTCAATGCTTTACAGCTTTTGGTGGTTCAGGATGCGGAGGTACTGCGGGGCCTCAGCAGTGGTTTAATTTGTTTTCAGGCTAAACAACGCTACAAAAGCATTCTGAAACCTTGTCGTTGAAGTCCCTGCGCTTACATCGTTCACTGCGGGACATTGCACCAGCCCGAACCCACACACAGTCTCACGGCTTCTTGATGGCTTGGCCGTGCCCTGGTCGGAAACCCTAAACTCCGAAAGACGCAACCCTAAACCCTGAACTCCGAAGACGGCCACCTGTCTTCGGGCAAGGCAGGTCCATTGCATATAAGCAGGGCGCGGGTCTTTGCACAGCCTCGCACCAGGCAATCTCAAGCCCCAGGCTTCCAGGGACAACCGTACAAAAGCATGCTTCTAAAGCACAGACTCACACAAACACACACACACACACATGAATGTATGCGTGTATACGCTAGACAAATAAATAAATAAATATATATATATATAGATATATATATATATATATATATATATATATATGCGTATGTGTGTGTATATATACATACAGATATACATATTTGTATACATGTATAGTACATATATACAGTATATAGAGAGATTTACAGACACACACACACACACAAACACTCACAAACACTCAAACATCCAAAGGTATACATACATACATATATACATACATACATACATACATACATACGAGCATACATACATGCGTACACACATACATACGTCATACGTACATACGTTCATACGTAACATACATACATACATATACATACATATACATACATACATTACATACAAACGCACATACGTACATAAA